GGGGGACCCATCACACTACAAGTGTGACATGGTGGAAGGAGCACCAGCCAGAGTGCCAAGAGAGGCAGACTTTGCAACCAGTTGCCCATTCTTGCACAACCGTTCATATGCTGTGGGCCTCTTTGCTCATTTGTAAAATGGGAGATTAGGCTGTGGATGGTTTCTAACAACCCATGCAATGCTCTGGTTGTAGACAGTTTTTTTTTTTTTTTTTTTTTTTTTTTAAAGAACGAGTCTTCCAGGTAAAGGAATGACAGAGGGGAAGGTGCCAGTCATGGGGAATAGTGACTTCCTGTGAAATGTGGAGAGCGCTGAGGCACCACCCTGAGTCCCAAAAAATGTCAATATGCCAGTGACTGAAATTCAGACTGAGGAGATAGAAATGATAGTGAGAGACATTTCAAAAAGATCCACAGCTAGTAGTAAAAATAGCCCTGGACTTCACTTCGCTTCACTACTAAGAGCTGGGTGAACACTTGAGAGTTATTAACTTCTTGGACACTGTTTCTTCAGCTGTAAAATGGAGATGTGACCATTTTCTCAAGAGGACCAGATGAAATCATGTGTATGTATTTGATATACGTTTTGTAAATTTATAAAGGGCAAGGAAGAGAGGACTCCTTCTAGATTACTCTTTGGGTCAAGAGTTCTAGGAAAAAAAAACAGAAAACCTCAGTTACCTGGAATATGAAGATCTCATTAGTTGAATTGTTTGATGAAATTGGTTAACCAGAATATCCTCTAAATTTTATTATTTGTTGCTGGCTTTTCTAAAGTGTCTGAATGTACTTTCTTTTCTCTTCTTCTTCTTTTTTTAAAACGGGGTCTTGCTCTGTTGCCAGACTGGAGTGCAGTGGCGCAATCTCGGCTCACTGCAACCTCCACCTCCCGGGTTCAAGTGATTTCTCCTGCCTCAGCCTCCCGAGTAGCTGGGATTACAGGCATGCACCACCATGCCTGGCTAATTTTTGTATTTTTAGTAGAGACGGGGTTTCATCATATTGTCCGGGATGGTCTCGATCTCTTGACCTTGTGATCCGCCCACCTTGGACTCCCAAAGTGCTGGGATTACAGGCATGAGCCACCGCGCCCGGCCTAAAGTGTCTGACTGTACTTTCTTACCTTAGGAAGTCTTGTACACTGCACATATTTGAACTGACTTTTTTCTGATGATTGAGGCCATGTGAATTTATCAGGGCCATCATTCCAAATATCAGTTTTTAATGTGTGTAGACTAAATGCATACCAACCCATTGGGATATACCTAGGAAGTTGTTTTGCGGAAGAGGGCACAGAAGAATTCCAGGTATTTAAGAGCCCTAGATAAACTGATTCAAGTTAAAATTTTATGGTTTATTCTGTGAAACTAAGAATTTGTATCACCAGCTCTGACCTCCCCACTGAATGTAGACTTAAATAGCCAATGACTTGGGTGATCTCTCCACTTAAATATCTGATGGGCCTCTCAATTTCAACAAAGCCCAAACAGAGTTCTTGTCTGCAACTCTCTTCTCCACCTTTGCTCCTCTCAGAGTCTTTCCTGTTTCACCAAATGGCACCAACAGACAGCCACTCAGTTACTCAAGTCAAAATTGTAGGAATCATCTTGATTATTCTTTCTTCTTCACCTCCAACATTCAGTCCATCATCAGATTCTGCTGACTCCACTTTCAAAACATATTCTGAATTTGTACTGCCTCCACTGCTACCTGCTAGTCCAAGCCACTGTCATCTCTCTGGTTGGCTTGTTGTAATAGCCTCCTAACTGGTATTCCTGCTTTAATCCTATCCCTACTCAGTTTATTCTCCCACTTGGAGCAAGAGTGATTTTTTTTTTTTTTTTTT